ACGCATTTTTTGATGAACACAATGTTAAGAATTTGCGGGAACGCAAAAGCGCCACCTACTTTGGCGCGTGCCGTAGTGCTTGTGTGCGGCGCAACGCGGGAAGAACCTGGTCTCACGTCACAGCCGTTTTCCCACCAGGTGGCCGGTTTGGCAGAATAAATGATTTTCAACATTCATAGACCCAACATCAAGACGTGTTTTAAACATCACAGAGGCAACCAAAAAATATACGAATGCTTTCGTTATTTACGTGTTGATACTAGCTTCAAATAATTGTAAAAATTTGACAATTTAGAGATATCACTAAAGAAGGCCTTTAAAATGGATTTTAGCATTTTTTTAGTATTTTAGAATGGTTTGATTTAATATTGTAGAATCTTGTATAAAGAGTGTAGAAGAACCAGTAGCAAAGCACTGGTGAATGCATATGCTGCTAGTGATTTCGATTCCAATATATTTATATTGTTCTCAATGTTTCATTGTTCGGGGATTTGACGATTTTACGTTCTCTTGGGACGAGCTCTTTTTAATTGTTAATGTAATTACTTAAATACTTAATTTTAATGTAATTACTAGGAGTTTACGGAGTTGTATTTAGAGAACATATTGCCTAAATTACTGCTGCTAAGCGGCTCTGCTGCTGGAATCAGTAATCAGCAGGTGATATGTTATATTCTCCACCGCAGATCGATCAGCATCAATATCGATATCAATATCATATCGATCGGCTGCTGATGTTATGTTTTCTACTGCATATCGATAAGCGTCAAACGAATCCTTTCAGGAGGGGAAGGATGAGTCGCCGGGGAAGAGGAAGAAGCTGCGCAAGATCTGGAAGGAGTCTAAGCTGAAAGAAGCCACGAAGGCTGCAGCGAAGGCGGAGGAGGACCGGAGGAAGCGAATCCTCGAGAGGCAGAAGAAGGTACCGTATAACGCCATGTTTTTCGCGTACAGATATTTTTGCGAATTCAGACTTGACGGACAATTTCGCGAGTGGTTAATTTTGCGGTCGGTGAATTATGAGTTATTCGGTATTTTTTTCCGTGTGAGCTATTCGCGTGTAGTTATTTTCGCGGTCGGGGACGCGTTCGCGAAATTCGCGAAAATTAAACCACCGTGAAATATACAGCGTATACAGTATTGACGCTGCTTTACCGTCCACATGACACCAGTTTCACTAAGCGGGTCAAGCGACACCAGTTTCAGCAAGCGGCTTCATCAAGTGAGACCAGTTTACGCGGGTTTCCCCACGCAAAATCGCCGACCTCACCACGCGTTGTCTCGCTAAGCAGCAGTTTTAGACTGCAGAACCGTCGCGACGGCGATAGCCAGCGCCATCTGTTGATCGCTCTAGGCGGTCAAGTCGAAACAAGGCGGTAGCTCTTGACGATTGAGTGAAATTTACGGCGATAAATCACGCGCGCGCACTCGACGCGACCCGGGATATATGTGGTTAACCATAATAATATGCATAAATTACTGTGCTGTACAATAAATGTGTATGAATTTTGTTTCGAGAGTTTGTTTTCGAGCTTGTTGTTCAATGAGATTTGTGATCAATTCTCATTCGATCAGCAGCCTTGTGGCATCAAATTATGAAGTTCCTGTTATCGTAAGTTTTCTCACAGCTGCGATGCGTTTCTGTCAACGCTACTCTCATAACATTTTTGATTAACATTAGTCATAAGTGCTATCCTAGCATAACAGGGTGCGAAATTAACGCGAATCCGGAGTCGAACACTCAGTGATTTACTGTCGGATTCCCTGATTTGACACATGCAGGAGTCTGTGTGACTCCCTGAAAATTCTGCTATACTAACTAGTTCGTTCCAGAGCACGGCCTCGCGGAATTACCGTATTTTTTCAGCAAGTCTTTAATTTTGAACTTCAGACTGCGGACTCGCTCATTTTGCTGCGGACTTCGTCTTTTTGAGGGCAGGGAGTCAGTCCGTTGGACGTTCAAACGTTAATTTCTACCCCTGCATTGGCATTAACTTTACGATGGTTCTGATTGCCGTCGTTAATCAGATTAATCAGATTATCGTTAATTGATTAACTTTACGATGCTTTGCCGTCGTTACAGTACAACCACATTGAGCAGTTTGCGGACGAATCATCGCCGACGAAGTGTCCAATCACGACGAAGCTGGTGCTTGAGCGAGACCCGAAGACGAAGGAGCCGCTAGTCGAGGTCTGCAGCGAACTCGTGCTGCAGCTGAAGCCTCATCAGGTCGAAGGTACGTGCGAGCAGCAACTGCGACAGCAGTCGCCGCGGCGACCGCCATCGTCATCTGCGAGGAGAGTTGCCGGGAGACGCGTCGCTCGTAATACTGTTAGCGACGGCGGTCGCCGCGGCGACGGCTGTTGTCGTCTGCGAGGAGTGTTGCCAGGAGACGCGTCGTGCGTAATATTGTGAGCGATGGCGAACACTGCCGAATGCTACAAACAGACAAAAATGATTCGAGTCGGCTTGGCGTTAGCGAGCTCAGGTTATTGATTTTATAGAGGTTGGACACCGGACAACCACGGAAGCAATTTGTAGTTGCCCGAGAGAATATCGGCGACTGCAAAAATTGAGCCCTGCATAACTTGAGTGTGTTTCTTTTGCGTAGGCGTGCAGTTCATGTGGGACTGCCTCGTTGAGACACTGGATCAGCTGGATAAGGGAGAGGAGGGCAGCGGGGCTATCCTTGCTCATTGCATGGGCCTCGGTAAAACCCTGCAGGTGGGTGGCGCAGTTATCGCACATCTGATTGATGTACATGTGTCGTGTGCAGTGTTTTTAAGCAGTATAAAGAAAGGCTCTATATATCATTATATATATGTGTATGTATAATGTACGCGCACATGCAAGGTTGGTGGTGACGTGCGTGCGTCCATGCGTGCGTGCGTGCGTGCGTGTAACTGTAAGTATATATGTGTGTATATGTGCAGGGTTCTCCAAGAGCCCTTATAGCCTGGCGGCCCGCCAGGTTATCGTCGAGCCCCGCCATCCTAAAATGCACCCGCCACTCTAAATATCATAGCCGCCATGCTAAATATCATAGCACCCGGACCTCCCTAGCACGCAAACCGCCTTCGGCGATTTGCAACTAGGACCGTAAAGGCAGCACCTGCCATGCTATAATGAAAAAGCTTGGAGAACCCTGATGTGTATATATAGGTGGTGACTTGCGTGTAGGTACGTGTAATGTATATATGTATACATGTGTACACGTGTATATATAGGTGGTGACGTTCATACACACGATGCTCATGAACGAGCGCACGTGTGGCAAGCTTCGCACCGTCCTCGTCGTTGCTCCACTCAACACCGTCCTCAACTGGGAGGCCGAGTTCAAGAAGTGGCAGGTGAACATCGACGAAGACGAACAAGTACCGGTAAGCGGACGATGTGGCCGGGGGTTTGAATCTTACCCCTGACCTCGGTTTTCTATCATGTCATGCTATTCCAGGGTTACCAACATCCCTGCATAGTAGTAGCACTCTGCAGCGCGTGTGCTCACGATCTGACCAGGCAATGTGGGTGTTAGCACAATAGCAACAGCAACAGTAGCAGCAGCAACAGCAGCAGCCACAGCAGCATCAGCCACAGTGGCAGCAGCAACAGTAGTAACAGCAACAGCAACAGCAGCATCAGCCACAGTGGCAGCAGCAACAGTAGTAACAGCAGCAGTGGTAGCAGCAACAGTAGTAACAGCAGCAGTGGCAGCAGTAGTAGCAGCAGCAGCAAATTTTTATCATAGAACAAATTCGCCCATATAACTGAAACTAAGTGTCATTTATAAGATATCGCAACCCTTCTTAAAAATTAATAAATAAGAAACGCCCTCGGTCTGTAACGTATCAATGTAATCCCGCACACAGGTGTATGAGCTGGCGTCGATCAAAGACAACTGGAAGCGGATGGACTGGTGCGAGGGCTGGTATAAGAACGGCGGCGTGATGATCATGGGCTACGACATGATGCGCAACCTGACGAGCGAGCGCGTGCGCAACAAACGCCAGAAACGCATCTTCAACAAATGCCTCATGGATCCAGGTGAGCGGCTCAATAAGAAGGCAATCGGGGGGGGGGGGGATGGGTGGGGGATGACTGGTAGACACAGTCACATGCCTCATGGATCCAGGTGAGCGGCACAATCGTATGTCATATGAAATGTTCATCCTTGGAGGCGATCCGGGGGGATGGGGGGACGGGTGAATGGTATGACTGGTAGACACATGCCTCATGGACCCAGGTGAGCGGCACAATCGTATGTCATATGAAATGTTC